GCAAATGTTAACATTGAAAACAGTATTTGTCTATAAGTCTCTTCAAAATGTTTCAAAATCATTGACAAAATAAGATTTATTAATTAAGTAATAACCAAAACAAGAAATTAGGCTTGAGCACAAAATCCATGCTTGAGCATGAGAACGGCTTCATGAATACGGGCCCAGAAAACTTGACTAAAGTCTTCATCAACCTGCATCATTGGGAGCCCTGTTTGTAAGTTTGTCCATCAGTAGTCGAAATCTATCACGAAAGACATTAAGAACAAAATATAACAATTTTTGTCATACTTATTCTTCACTGATTCATACATTGTACCTATAGTTGTCTAGTTGAAATTTAGTCCAATCAGTAATGTTTTCAATCAGAACGAATTTTTGCCATAGCCCTTCCCCAGGCAGACACTATCACGATGTTGCCTAAATTACCGTATACATTACATGTATTTTATAGTCGACTTCAGCTTACGATGAATGATTTGAACAATCGTCAACACGACCAAAAGTTCCAGTGTGGTATCAGTGTCTGCCTTGATGAAATACTGTACATATTCAAAATTACTTGGGTCCATGTTGGTACATATATTTCTCGATTTGACCGCAGCATCACTACGACTGTTATATATTTGTAAAGGATTTTTTTCCACTGTTGGACACTTTGGATCTTTTGGTGGGGATTCGTGATTTTTTTTTAATTTCGCTTTGACGTTCTGACGATTATTACATTTGTGCTTTTGTAGTGACATTTACGTTTACATTTATTGTGTACTCACGTTGTTGTATATTTGTTTCTACCACAAAGACGACCCATCAGACACACGTAACTTGTTGAAACAACTCACAACTTTGACGACGGTTTAAAGATATACAAAAGCAATAGATACTGGCGGCACTGCTTAATTGGAATTTTAACATTACATGACGAACATTTGCCAGTATCAGTTCATGAATGTTGTATTCTGGTCTAGATCGTATTTAGTTCCACATCGATTAATTTCACACACGCAATGCTTTCTCCCAGACAATCAACATGAATCGTTCATTAATTAAAATTATCACGATTGTATCGATTAAATGAATTTTTCTTAATTTCCGAGTTATGATTAAAATCAGTGTCAATACTGGATTGTCAATATTATTTGCACGTCTAACACTGTTTAAAATGAAAAGTATCACATTTGTGAATCTAGACATATTTCCTGAATCATTATACTAACTTGGTATTTCCTTTATAATCTCTTAACACCATAATGTGGTTGACTTTACTGTTGGAATGCAATTTCCCGAGGTATTCATATATCAGGACATTTTTTCTTTGGGTTGGGGTTGGGGTGTTTGTATTTTTTTTTATTTTTTATTTTTAAATATTTTATGTTTTTTCAGAACTGATCAGTCCTAAATAAACGGAATGGATATACAATTCTTTAGAATGTTTACTTTGTTCGATTTTCTGTGTCGAACTAATAAATATGTATAGAGATGTATCCTTACTTCGTATTTGTACTAATGATATCATTGCTTGAGTACTATAGTTTACACATAAACAATCGTTTTGTTGCACACAGATATTCGAAATAAAACACAGACACTGGTATGTACAGTTGTTAAGTTATATTGATAGACGTTAAAGTGTTACGATAACTAAACGTGAGTGACGCAGTAACACAGAGAACTAAACTGGAGTCACGAAATGTCGCCGACTTACAGGAACCGCTGCAGTCTACATCATCAGTCGAGGTTAGAAGCGACTGCTTTGATTTATTTTATCGCTCACTTTGATGTAGCATACGAGGTACTTTATAACTTAACCCTACACTTTCTTTGCTTGTAAATACATTACATGGGATCCTTATCGTACTCGTCGTTGATGTTATGTAATGCAAATCTTAACCAGGTATATCCTGTTATAAACTTGTAAAGAGAACTAGAATTCAATAGCGAGAAGGTCGGGTACACGATAAAGCTACTAAATGATTGCCAGTCGATTCTTTGCGTAATATATTGCTGTATTTACTTTGGCATGACAATTCCTTAAATAAGGAAACCAATGGACGCCATATGAAATTAAAAACTTCAAAGTAAATACCTCTACCTTTTCCTTAAGTGGCATTTCCACATGTCTAGTTAAGTACATGTATGCACTTATGTGTCAGTTTGGGTTCTGATTTGTTGAATATAATAAAGTGTCGGTTTTGACGAAAGCAATTTATAACCATAGCATGATTAGAATATAGGTGGGCTCGTGACACATAACCCATTGTTAAACGTGCAACACTTCATTTAATGACTATTATCATATCTCTTTTTATTTGGCGATTGGTTCGGGGTTAAATATTGTTCGGACTGTGCCTGGGGTTTGAGTTTATACTAGTGGTTTGTAGAAAGTGGGACTAAATATTGTTCAGACAATGTCAGGATTTTATGCCGCGCTGGTTTGCGTGGTAACGCCCTTAACATTGACAGAATATATGTTATAAATATTGTAAAGTACATTGGGGAAGCCCTGATGACCCTCAAAGGTAGGCCTAAACATGTCATAGTTTTACCACTTTAGATATTTGCCATCATGTTAAAGAAAGTTGTGACATATTTATCCAGGTCAAAGGTCAGGGTTGAACTCGAGGCTAACAATGATGCAGTATCACCTGCCTCTTCACTTGGAATGTTAGTCAACAAATCAATGTCATAACCTAGAAAGGATGATAAATAAATCATTTGACGAACACAGTTTCTAGATTATTAAAATCTAAACATTCATCATCAACTACAATGTGTAGAGCGTTTCTACCTCTGGTTGGGTATAGAAGAGAAAATATGGACTGGCAGTCTTTTGTTTATTTTCATACTTTTCGTTTAGAAATAGAGATGCTGTGATTTAGGTTTATTTACCTTTTTTTATTGATTTACGTGATCTTATCTTGATCATGATTATAACCATCCCATCGCGAGCCCCTCGTACACTCTACGTAGGTAAATACTGAGGTAGTATGTTAAGTGCTTAACTAGTGTGCTTTATGGCACTGCTTCTCGCGGATAACTTAACAGCTAGCACATCTCACCTGATCGAGATTGCAAAGCCAATGAAATGTAAATGTTTGATATGAGAGAGCCCCATAATGTAATTGATTGTGAGCTCCGAGCTCCGTGTTGACACCGCGTACTAATTAGTTTACACTCCACAATTTATCTGTCTGTGGAAGTTGTCCTGGTGATAAAGAAATTAAGTTCAACTTTTTTTTGTATTCAATTAAAAGCAATATTTCTAACTGTAAAAATAGACTGTGTTTGTGTACATTTTCTCTTTATAGGATATCTTTTATCTGAGCTGAAGTTGGGATTCAAATGTTTTGGAAATTAACCTAGCAATTGCATCCGATATTTTCAGGAAATTTAAAAATGCAATGCTAAAATTCCTATCTATGTATTTGGCATTGATAATTATTTATGATTGAATTAAAATATAATCAATGTCATTATCCATGCACAAGAAAAAATATCTTGAACTTAATAGCAAAACAACAACAATACGAAATTAATAACAAAGAATTAAAAGTGGCCTTTTGCAGTCCCACAAATATCGGAGATGAGCTCAGGTGCTCCTTGAACATAAGCTTGTCTTACACTATAGGTTGTACCAATCAGCGTAGATAGTAACGCTACAGGTAGAAAACTGTGGCATTAAATTAATGTATTCTTTGCTTAAGCTCCGTTATCATGTATTTCAAGTAAAATACATGGTAAAGGTCTACAGACATATCAAGTTTACCGTGAACGTGTGTCTACTAATGAACTCTCTTATATGGTTGTATGAATTGCGTATTAGTAGCACCTTAAATTGATCAAAGGAACCAGAAGTGATGGGACTGGGTATACTGTATTTCATTACAAGTTACATGAGGGTCATACAATAGCCTTTTTATTTATCTAAAATACAAGTTCAATTTAGGATGTATATGTTTTTGTGTTTCATTTAGCCATTACAAATTAAGTATATATCTCTTTATCAATAATTCAGTCAAGTTGTTGATTTTAATCCATGTGGCGTTTACATATATGAAAAAATATAAATACAATATAGTTCGTATACTTCCCGATCTACCATGATGCAAACTAAAGCAGTTTTTGAGAAATAAATTTAAATGAAGCATCAATGATTAAAAGTTTATATATCACAAAAGTCGTGTCAATATTGTGGTTGAATTGAAACATTCTGTAATTATGTATTTGTCTTGGTGCTTCCATACATCTGACAATCAAAATACAAAACAATACAATTCAATACAATACAATACAATACAATACAAAACAATACAATACAAAACAATACAATACAATACAATACAAAACAATACAATACAATACAATACAAATTATTTTATAAAAGTGTCACACGTCAATTTTGCTTAAAATACATGGTCTAAAATGTACAACAATATATGATTGACACCCAACCTAACAAACAAGCTAGCAATATTTCTTTTTACATTTTTCGACTTCCCTGTTCCGAAGCTTCATGGAAAGGCACGTGTTTGTGAAGCTTGAGTGATTGATATTTAATTACAACGATGGAACGGTAAGCGGCAGGTTTTAATTACAAAAATGGTTAGACTTGCTCAGCAATGACACCGGGAGATATATCGGTTCATAAACTCACTTACAACCGTAATGGGACAGATAAAAAGTCCCGCAATAGTAATGATCCTACCGATTATTTGACAGGTGGTGTGTTTACACCGCAGGTATGTCTAACACTCTCACACAGTTGTATCCCGGTCTGTTTGAAATAAACGCACACATGTTTGCCACCATTGATCCAAGTCACGTGACAAAAACATACCGCATCCATTAACTTATGAACGCTAGTGTTTCTAACCTAATGACATTAACATAGATGTTACGCATTGAAAAATAATGGAACAGGTTCAGTGGTATTATACTTATATAAGTATTCGATCAAGGTAATATGCAAAACAATTATTTTGATTTCTTCATCGTTACAGAAAATGACGTATTGGATATTTAAATCTAGATGCATCACATGACCAGGGAAGCTAAAAGTAAGTAAAGTTTTTCTTAGTGGTGTCAATTACGATAGTTAGCTCACAGATGTCGGGTTAAACTTACCAGTTGTAATCAGAATGACATATTTGCACTTTTGTACTAACCTATTTTCTTTTCGTTTCAACTCAAATTAAAGTTAAATTGCTTGTATGTTAATTTGTTTCGATATTCACGACGTCGCTCTATTTACATGTTATATGACAACAGTGTCAAACCATGTAACACCATAACCAGGGAAGATTTAGGAACAGATGATGATCATCTCAATCGCTAGTTGCAATAGATAATTGTTTTCTGTGTCCGCAGCAGCAGAAACATTTTGGTTATGCTGGAGCCAAATGATGTTTTCATTAACACAAAGAACTGTTTTTACGAAATTTGAATATATAAGTATCTTAAAAGTTAAGAACTCGCTGCTTGTAAAACAGGTTATTATATATTCAAAATATAATACATAGGTAATAACAAATTAACTTACACCAATGGGTAATCTGAGGGCCAGTTCTCGGAAACGGTCACATGATGAGGGTGTTGCAACGCATTATTGCGAGACTGTACCCATGGCGGTATTTACAAAATATGTTTCAATTTACAATGATGTTCATATTTTCCGAATGCATTTACTCGATCGTCGTGTTATAGATTGCCTGATTATAAAATATGTAACAAAAATAAAATTTCAATTGTCTATCGATACAAAGGAAGGTTTGAAGTAAATGTTTATTTCTATTTTTACTTCAATGTTAGAAAGATACATTTTTTTATAATAAGTATAAAAAATACATATTTTCATATGCATACGTTGGCATATTTTATAATACAAATCTCTCAATATAATTAAAAAAAACAAATTATGGATATTTTATAAATATCTGTGATTCGTATAGTCCAATACGTATCTTATTGTCAACTCAAATATACTTTGCTTACTTGACATTTTACTAAACATGTAGTGACTTGTTTCCACTTGTATTGGTGCCAACGCCATACCACGTCATTATATGTGACGAGCATGCAAGGAAATATATGTTTTCACCTGATGGTCATATCTTATACTCCATTCCACTCCTCTCAATTTCAAACGACGACAACTATTTACGAGACGCATCAACGAGTGTATTGAAAACCTAACGTTTTAGTGAAGTGGGCTGGAGGTGGTATCCGTGCAGTTCAACACGATTTCTCAACATGAATACCCTTGATATGTCATGGGGTGATTTATATGTATTCTAGTGAACAGGTGTTATGCACCTACCTTAATCAAATTGGTATCGTTGAGGTTAAAGATCAGATTTCAACACGTATAGTACATAAAACAATATCCACTATACTAGAGAATACCCATTACAAACTCTCTTTATTTTGATATCACATTAATTAAATGGCGACCATACGTTTGAAGCTAAGATGGCGTAATTATATTTCATTATTATATGACAACGATGTTATATTCTTTTTTAATTCATATATAATTTATGAACCTTATTCACGTTTTTTTGAGGTTTTTTTTTACAATCGTTAATCGTTTTATACATAAATGTAAATATCCTATACGGAATGGTAAGTCATTTTAGATTTTACATCTTATTATTTATTGATGACTTTTTCCATGATGTTATTATCATTACCCTTGCGTGAAAATCGCTGTTATTATTATTATTTTGTGTTCCATGTTTCAAAGTTTTTTTTTAAATAATTAAACAAAATCAAACAAGAGAACATTTCGTATGATAAATATCAGTTCAAGTAGTTAAGGTACCGAGTGTAACCATTCAACTTAAAAGGTGAGGTAAGCTTCACAATTAACTCACGAAAAGGAAATAAATCATAACAAATTATGCAAGTTTAATATTTTTTTATGCTTTTAGCCATAACCCGAAACACAATTTAAGATATAATGACGTCACAACTGGTCAAGTAATTTCTCGTTAAACCACAATAGTTATAAACGACAGGCAGGGTCCCGTATTTGTTACCTTAGTTATGTTCGGTCAATAATCAGGCACTTTAATTATTTACCACTGAGTAATATGCTCCAAATAAGCGTGAAATTCTTAAATGCAAGTTATATATATATATATATTTACATTTGCATGGCATTCTCACTATATAGCCTCTTGGAAAGCTGTGTCGTTGATGGGACTTTAATTACCATGCCGCACGAGACATAATTACCATGCCGCACGAGACACAATTCTTAGCGTATTAATTACAACACTGACCGGAACTACAATATCCAATGTAAATAAACATGATGGCTGCTGAAATGTCGCTGGGCATTGTGAGATTTGATAATGTCATTGTAAATTTATGTGCAAAATAAAAAATAAAATAAAAAACACTTTTATTACAACGAAAACAAGACCAAGGTCTGCAATATCGTACAAAATACACATCGGTTGAAATCACCAATACCGGCAATGGAAACAATTTTAACGCTCATGCAATTTATCAGAAATATCTTCTGTTACACTGCATTGATCAACAGGGGTTCGTTATAAATGTCTTAAATACACATATTCTATAGACCTACTGACACATATGTTACAGCCCTACTGATATGAGTCACAGCACACATAAACATTCGTCATTTCAGACATTTGTAACGAACCTGTGCTCCGTCGCAAGATCACTCACTTCAAACGCTATCAGTTTCACGCGTCTCGGATCCACGGTTCCTCAGTTTCAGACGACCTGTCAAATAACGATGCTGTTATAGAATCTACCGACTGTTGTCGGGTTCCCATACAATCAACAAATACATTCACGCCTGGATTCTTCACAAAATGAGCAAAGAGAAAAGTTCGAATTAACTTCCAAAAATAACTCCCTCGTGGAGGTCAAGGTCCCATTCACGGTGTTCACTGTATTTATCCATGCGCGAAATTTGTTCCGGGGGAAAATCGAAACAATTTCAAATCTAACTTTCAGCTCAGATTTCTATTGAAAAACTGGAATCACCCTATAGACATATCAAACGCAATTGTATTGATACAAAATTGTGGAATAAATTTGAAGTGTTTGTTAAAATGTCAAAGTACTACTTTGTTTGCCAATCAGCACGCGACAATACGCTGTTCAAACTATTGAACGAAATTGTGTGAACTGTCGATAAGGCGGGCATTTTAAATTTTAATTATAAATTATAAGTTAAAAAAGAACATAAGAGGCAGAGAAAACGTAAATATAAGTATTGAACGTTTTTTGTATGGTATTTTTGATCTATTTGAATGACACAGCTTTGCAAGCAAACAAATCATAATGCGCTAGCGCGCATTATGTTGTGTTAAGAAAATACAAATAAACTATTTTATCAACTATGTTCAAAGAAAGTATGAAATAACTTTTAATCGGTGAAAAAATGTTATCCAGGGACAACAACATACACAATAACGTTCATCTAACCGCATTTAGGTTTAACGTTTAATATATCATCGAAACGTTTTACCCGGACATGTGACTAAGCAGACATCCTTTTCCATCCAATACATGACTAATTCAGTATGCACACCAGGGAACAGTTACAGTCCTAAGTACATTATTATACAGTGAAATGTTCTCTAAAATAGCATTTATCTATCTCAGTATATATAATCTTTCTTTATATTTGAATATATCTATCTCGGTATATATATTTGTTTCTAACTATCTCAGTATATAGATATAGGGCGTCGATTGACAACAGGGAATATTTAAGCCCTAAGTGCATCATTGTACAGCGAAACCATGGACTCTTGTCTATAATAGGTTTCAATCCTATCTATGTTTTACTCTAGTTTAAATTCATGGACAGATAAATGCAGTCTTGTCTTAAAATATGAAATTGTATCAAGACATTAGTACTGACTTACTTATTGTTATAATGGCCTGTCATTTGCCTTTAAAACGCTACTGTGTGTACTACCCGTCTTTAATGCGTTGTTCAGCCATATCGGCAGACATATCAGACGTCCCTGACTGGTCGAGGATACCCGATACAATGGGCCCCGGTATTGACTCACTTATCAATGGGCAGATTTATGAGCCTTAACAAATGTAATATACGGAGATTCTTTTTTGTAATACTGTCGGGTGCGCTGGTGTACGGGTACGGGAAACGTCTGATATCCCAGGTTGTTTTTTATTGTAAAGTAAATAGTGTGTAGTGGTGTTGAAATACAGCCGGCTAGCAACCGTGTGCTCATGTCTGTCCACCTTGTCACACTGAACAGACAGATATATATCGTCAGCAGGCAGGTGTAAACCAAAAGGTAAGTAACCCTGAGTCTGCAGGTGGTGTTACTACCGTCAGTAATTTGTTAAAATCCACACTATTGAGACTGACCTATCTTACCGTGTCCAACTATTATTTGACAGTGTATTATGACATATATTTAAAACGACGACGACGACACTTATAGGAAGTCAAATATATGTACATTTGTATAGTTCGGTTTTCCACGACCATGCTACAATTCAGCGATTTTGGTCAAGTCAACTGTACAAATCTTACATTCCAAACGTTGTCAGCTAAGTTTTGTAAGACACGCACTGTTGGAGAGTAAACATATAAGTTTCCTGACTAATAGCCCTGTAGTGTTTACATGATATCGTTAATTTAGGTTAATTAGCACGTGCCTCGACAGCGTTCATGTAACAGACATGCACAAACACTTATGTATACAAATGTACCACAAACATTTATCAGCAATACATATAACACACAAACGTAGATTTACATACACCAACACACATACATAAGCAACCCATTAAATACGCATTGACAGCAATTCACATACGTACATGTGTATACCAACAACACATATACACGTACAAAAAAAGCTTATGAATACGTACTCTAACAAAACATATATCTGTGCACTTTCGCTCGGTTTCGCTCAATAAAAATGGACGTAATGCAGCAGATGGCCTGACTTGATGTCTGGTCGTCTTATACTGTAATTTGTACAGTACACACGTGCTTTATTTAACATTTACATATGATTAGTTGTACAGA